TTCTGACTAACATAGCTAAATACAAATGAAGTCAGTTCTGTATCCTGTTAGCATTCTTGCATTGTATATCAATAAAACAAGACCCCCTCAGCCCTGAGCCTTGGCCTTAGAATATATAAGTAATTGTGCACTGTGTGATGGTACCATTAAGTGAGAACTTTAGTTCATGCTGTCAGCTGCTGAAGAGGTTGCATCCAAAACCCGCAGCGCTTGCACCCAAAGTCAGTCTGTAGTAATGGCTGGTAACATCAGCCATGCTCCTTTCCACAATGCTAAGTGAATACTGCGGTCAGACATTCTGGTAGCAAAGATTAAGCCTGTGTCATTGTGTCATCCAAAGCTGGTTTTGAACTTGTGAATCCTGCCTCAGCCTCCGGAGTGCTGCAGTGCATGTGGTACCATGTCTGGCTAGGAGTTTCAGTTATCACATAATTGGAGGAGAATATGGGAAACAATACACACACACACACACACAGAGAGAGAGAGAAAGAGATACAGACCCCGAGAGAGAGAGAGAGAGAGAGAGAGAGAGAGAGAGAGAGAGAGAGAGACTGAGAGACTGAGAGAGAGACTATTCTAGGTATTCATTTATCTGTCCTTAGTACATCTTAGAAGAAATACACTAAGACCAATATACAATAGCTTAGTTGCTAGGCACTGGTAGCTCACACCTATAATCCTAGTTACTCAGGAGGCAGAGATTAGGAGGATCAGGGTTGAAGCCAACCTGGGCAAGTAGTTTGCAAGACACTATCTTGAAAAACTCTTCACAAAAATAGGGCTGGTGAAGTAGCTGAAGGTGAAGTCCCTGAGCTTAAGCCCCAGTGCTGAAAAAAAAAAGAATTGTGTTTAGCAAGATGGAAATAAGTGTGTCTCACTGTTGACTATGGTCCTCAAGAAACAGATGGCACATTCAGACTGGATTATTTGAGGATCACATGAAGCAACTGTTTGTAAATAGATGGGCAGAGTTTAGAAAATCAAGAAGGGATAGTGTAGTTTCCTGGGTTAACAGCAGAGATGGACTATTACTCCTTAAACCTGAGGAAGGAGTGGTTACTGGAACACCTAAAGGAAGCTGTGTGGAGAAGGCTACATGACTGCAGTTGTGGTCCCAGGTAGAGGATTAAAACCTGCAGTGACCCCATAGAAGAAATGCTAGGGAAATACATGCCTCGCCTCTATGATCTTTCATTTGACTTCTACCAATGTCAGTTCCTTTTCCCAACTGGCCAAAGCTAACTGTGAGACAGAGCGTGAGAGAGCTCCTAGGTAGAGTTTCAAGTCAGCCTTCTGAGGCCTGGTGCTGAGTGAAGAAGGCAGAAAGTGTACTGGATAGATACCTTCAGGAAAATTAAGATACTGCTTTCTGTTAGTAACATACATGCATGACTGTTGTATCAGATGAAAGCTAAATATAAGATTATTAAAGAATTTTTAAAGTGAATTCTCTTAAGAAGGAAGTTTTAATTAGGAAAATATCTTAGATTTAAGATTAATATCTTAGGAGATAGTATTTATATCCTTTGGCTTTTATGTCCTTTAGCTATTAAGGAAAGAATATACCTGTCCTATGAGAGAGTTTATTTTGAGGTGACTCTTCCTGCAACAATTTAACATGGAACTCTTACTACCCTGAAATAGTACCATTAAAAATAATCTGTATAGTAGTTAAATATTCCATGTGGAATATTCTTTGTGGAATAGACATATCTGTTAACTCTAGAGAGTGTATATGCCTCTGTATGTGTGTTTGTAATATATATGAGCAATAAAGGAAATAATAATGGTATATATAACTTGGAAAAAAAAAGGATGCTTAACAACCCAACATGGATGTTTCTTCATAAAGATACCAGTATTATGTTAGTGAAGATGGTACACTGATGAGGACCTTTTTCCTTAGACCTCAGTCTTTACTGAGTTCTCATTCTCCTTGATGTATTATCATTCAGCAACCTGCATTTATAACATTAAACATTGGTTTTTGTATTACAACATTGTTCTCTATTGTTCGTTCTTTTGAACAAAGAATGACCAGTGTATGCTGCTGAGCAAGGTAGACACATTCCTGCCTGCTAGAGCATGTAACTAGCTATTCTTCTCCCTCCTGTAGTCTCTTTTCATGATTTCATTAGGGATATTAGTTTCTTCCTGACTGTGCTGTCTCTGTTATTCTTGACCTTATGCTTTCTCCAAGAACTGTTTCATCCTCCTGGCTTAACTCTCTGTTTTGGAAGTTTACGTATCTGCTTTTATTTTTGATCTTTATATACTGAATTTTATCCATTTGGCCATTCAATAAATTTTTATTCAGATTGGTGTGCCTGCTACAAAGAATACAAAAATAACATAGTACCTGCCCTCAGAATAGCTGTGGGCAACATATGTACAGGGTGCCATGGGACAGATAAGAAGGGACTGCCTGACTTGGACATGAGGGGGAAAGAGGAAGGCACTTATTTCTGATAGATATATTAGAAATTATCTATCTATCTATCTATCTATCTATCTATCTATCTATCTATCTATCTGTCTTCTATCTAATGAAGGCACCTAGGGTTTTGAAAGCATAATAGTTGGGCAGTAGCAAATGGTTTAGGGTGATCATGTTAAGATTGGAGGGTGTGGGTGACTGAGCATTTTAGGAAGGTGACAAATTGTCCCAAAGACAGTATTCTCAATACTTGTTCTTTCACCATAAGGAAGCTTGATCTTGCAATTTCACATTTCTGTCATTGGGACCATCATTCTCTGTTCTTCCAAACTCTGAAGTGTAGTCTTCAGGTGTGCCTCAGTAATTGTGATCAGTTCTCAAAGTTGTGTCATTTCTATCTTCAAAGCATTCTTCCTTGCATCTTTTTCTGTTTTGACTAGCAACACATTACTTATCACCTAATGTCTGGATTATTTCAAAGCTGTATTAAGTATTTCCCTTACCTCTCTCACTCTCTGTTTTGGAAGGAAATTTCTAAAATCCTCATTTTACTATGTTGCTGACCTTGAGCAAAAAAGGACAGTAATATTTTATTTCCTACAAGATAAGTTCTTAGGCCAGTTTTTTTTAATGGTACCAGGGCTTGAACTCAGGGCTTACACTTTGAGCCACTCCACCAGGCCTTTTTATGTTATGTATTTTTGAGATAGGATCTTGTGAACTATTTGCCTGGGCTGGCTTTGAACCGTGATCCTCCTGATCTCTGCCTCCTGAGTAGCTAGGATTACAGGCATAAGCCACCAGCACCTGTCTCAGGCCAATATTTAAAACCCATGATCCTTTAATAAACCAAAACTCTCAAGCCTTCCCATTCCCATTAACAACCACAAAATTGCAGAATTCAGAGATAATTTGCAACAAAGAAGATACTGTTCCATTAATATTTGTTCCATTGAATTTTTTATTGTGAACACATGTATTTTTACCGAAAAAGCATTTTTTAAAAAACAGCCAGATTTTCTCCTCCCCCAATCCTGTGTTCCGTGCCACAATTCTAACCTCTTATTCTACCCAGATTACTTTATCTGTGGTAGGACATATATTCAGTGACTCTAGAAACAGGTAGACTGTGTTGGAATGCTGGTTCCCTCACTTACAGTTTCAGTAATGGTCTTCATTTCTCTAACCAACAATAACAGCTTTGGGAAGGAGAGGGTGCTGATAGTACCTCCTTCACAGGATCAAGGTAAGAATCAAGTAAATCTGTATAGCCTAGTGCCTGGCCTGTGGGAGCATGCAGTATGTGTTGGCTATAAAATGTCATATACCTTGGAAACTCCTGGCTCATCCCCTCTGTGCTCATGTTGATGCAATTCTCACCCTGTCTTTGCATCCCTCACCACTAAAGCTCTCCTTGTGCCTTCCCTATTGCCTGTGATTTTCCTGCTGTTTCAAGTTCTACTCAATAGCCTCTTCTTTAATAGTTTTTTTCCTCATTATTTCAATTTATAGTGACCTCTGATTTCATATGGTGCCTTTTATACCATTTTAATAATTAGTCATATTTCTATTTTTTTGGCATATTTCTGCCTTTTTTGTTATTTCTTTTTGAATTTGTACATAAGTAAAAATACCACTGTGGAATTATCACAGTCAAGATATAAAATGGCTTCATCACTCTCCCTCCAAGAATCTTATTGTGGTATATTTCTTCTTAAACAATTTCCTTGAGTGTATATTCTGTTTTTGTATATACAATTTAGATTCTTGAACCTACTATCTGCTTTAGAGTGATTTGTTTCTCCTAAATTTGGTTAGTCTAGTATAGAGTATATAGTAAATGAGTAGATGCATAAACATCTGAATTGTATAAAGCAAAGCCTAAAAATGTGAATTTTAATGTATTAAGAAGTTGCAGGCTGGGTGCACTGATGCATGCCTGTAGTCTCAGCTACTTGGGAGGAGGGTGAGGAATTTAAAAGTTTAATACTATAACACAAAGTAGTTTTGGAGTCCTGCCAGGACTAATAAACCCATTTTTTTATTTGTCTTTAGAAGAAAAGAAAGGTTTGTTCCTTTGTTTCTGTTTTTGTTATCAAATACTAACTTATGGTTTCTGTTTTTTCTTTTACTAGTTTAAATTCTAAAATGAAGCAAATCCTTATTTCTTTCTTGTACTTTGTTATAATGCCATTATTAAATTTATTTACAGAACTTTGCCTTTTTCCTTGAAGATATTTAGAATTTTAGGCAAGTTAATTAAATACAAATTAGTTCTAGAATGTACAAGAAAACCTTCCTGTTTTCTCAGCTTTTTCCATGGACCAGTTTCTTTTCTGATTGCACCTAAAATCAGAGATCAATGCAAGTAAGAGAACTTACTATTGAACAAGCAAATGTTGCATGGTTTCATCAGTTTTCACTCTTGGGTATTATGGAGTATTAATTCTTCTCTAGAAATGGCAAAATACAGTTAAGATTTGCATCCCAATCGGTAGCCTTTACTTCCTAAAGAAGTGAATTGCCTTTAATCATGTGTGTCTTTTTCTCCCTTCCCCAACAGCTTCCATGCCTATGGCTGTTCTAAATTTGGGCCAAATATATCCATTTCAGAGAGGCTTTTTCTGTACAGACAACAGCATCAAGTATTCGTACCATGACAGTACCGTCACAACCACTATCCTCATCATATTGGGGGTTGGCTTACCCATTTTCTCTGTAAGTAAATAAATAGGTAGTGATGGGTTTGTTGTGATGGAGTTGGGGTGGGGGTAAATCCAAGTCCTGTCTCCACCAGTGTTAGTGTAGTCCATGGGTGATTCCAGTTAAAGGTGGATGTTACCCAAAACAAGTTGAAGTAATTCTAAAGAATTACAGAATGATTATTTTAGAATGGAAGGGTTCATTTAAAATCATTTGGACTAACTTCTCACAGTGTACAAATGAAGAAACATAGGCTCAGATACGTGCTCAAGTCCAGTAAGCTATTTTATGGTGGAGTTGAAGTGCAGATTATGCTCACTTTATCATACTATTAATTCATAAAATTTGTTACAAATTAGTTCATAAAAGAGGTGATACATTTACTTACTAATTTGAGAAAACAAACTTAGAAAGATTGCAAATACATATGAATAATAGAATCTATAGAAAACTGTATCCCTATTTTTAAAGTTGTGATATTCTTTATAGATCAATTTGTAGGGTTTCATGATGTAGATAACTGGAAACTTTCATTCTAGGTTAAGATTTACAAAGTGGGTTAAGATTGCCACTTGGGATATTCTGTATACTTTCTTTATTATTGGCCCTGATTCTTAAACCTTGCCCTTTGTCTTATCTATGTGACTCAGAAATCTAAGAGAAGGTGCTGGGCAAAGATTTCCCTTCTTGAATGTCATAGGAGTGAGCAGATTAGACCATATTTTTAACTTGCCCTCTTGGTTTGTCAGTTGGCTTCCTCAGATACTTAGAAAATTTTAGTGTCTCAGCAAACTCAGCAACCTTGTTCCACAATAGAACTGTCTGATTTTTCTTTCCTGTTTTTCTCCCAAACTGGCTCAGAATAATAACCTAATTCTTTGATTTTCCATTTAATAGATCTGGGTCCATTTTGTCTTTTTTACTAGCAGTTTTTTTTTTTTTAAATGATCCTCTCACAGTGTTCCTCAAAAACAAAAGGGACTTGGAATTTATTGTATTCTAAGATATATAAGTATTGTTATATACTTATAATTCTGATTTGTTTGTATTACTTTTATAGGAGTAAAAGGGGAAAAATCTGGAATTTAGTTTAGGACATACTTTTTCCTAAAAGTTAAATGCCACCACAACTGGTAATACTTGTTTTAGCCATCAGACATATGAATAGTGTAGAGGGAAGGAAGCATGTAGTACTGCCACTTGGATAATAGTGTTACTGTACTGGTATGAGATAAAAGGTGTTTGTTGTAGCCATTATTTTGAGCTGTTGTTTCCAGAAAAAGTTTTAAAGAACCTGTTCCTGTATTTGCTGAGTTAATTTCTTGAGGATTAGAGAGTTGCTTTTAGTTATTTGATTTGGTAGATTTCATCTTTTTTTGTAGGTTTAACTATTAATAATATTTATGAATGAACATAGCACAATAATAAAAAAGGAAGAAAATTAAACAAAACTTATGAAATAGAAAGAAAAGAGAAATAACTCTTAGCTCTGCTACCTGGCAACTAGTATTAACATTTTGATGTTGTTTACTTTAGTGTGACAGTTTTTATATCACAATGAATACACTGCAAATTCACTTTTGTGCCTTGATTTTTAGTTATCTTTGTAACACATATTTTTGAAATATTTATCAAAAGGAAGTAGCAAATTAACAAGCAGTTTAAATGAAGAGTAACAATACTAAATAATATTAATAATAATTTTTTTAAAAGTAGTGGAAAAAGACTTGATATGAATCCTTGAGTTCCTGGGTCTTAACTACTGTGAGTTTGTTATTGAAGATAACTGACCTAGAAAAAAAATCTTAATGCAAACTTAGGTATATTAAAAAAGTAGGCGTTTGGGCCAGTTTCTGGGATTTAAATATGATGACTTATGGACTAGTAATACAAAAGGATTCTTCAAAATTCATAGATTTGTTTATTAATAATTTATATATTACATGAATTATCTATCACATCAGACATATATCACATCAGATATAGAAGATAATTTATTTTTAATAAAATGAAATATGTTTGATGTTCTTTATATACACAGTTTATAATTTGATAATTAGATGATAGAAAATCTGCATGTTTTTAAAGCAGTATTTTATATCTTATTTGTACTATCTGAGGCCCATAATCTTTTTTAAAATTAATACATTCTCTGTTGTTTCATTAGTTATAACAAAAAGATGCCCAACTCAGAAGACTGTAGCTTCCTGTATTATTTGGTTCAAAGTTTCTTTTGGGGTTTTAATGATCTACTTTGGAACCCCCTTCCCACCTTTTTGGCTTTATGTAGATCTGCCTTCTCCCTTGGCGATTTGTTATACAATTACTTTAATAAGTTTTTATGTTTCTAGAAAAGAGTAAAAACTTGAATCTGTGTCAACACTCAGGGTAATGAGTAATGATAGCAACAATAAAGTTAGTATTAAATCTCAAATCCATGTGTCCAGAGTTTAAAATGTATTTGGAAATAGAAAATTCTTATCTATGTTTGATAGCTTATTTTAAATTGAGTACTGATTGTGAGTAGTTGCCTTCTTAGGTTTTGATTATGCCGCAGTATAATCATTTAGTAAATATGTTTAGCCTAAAGTCATGTAGCCAGTGTTTTTTTGTGAACAATGTGTAAAACTCCTAATGATACATTGTATTATTTATGGTGAACCAAACTGTATCACTGCAAACTAGGAATGTATGTGAATGTAAGTGGAAAAGGTTTAATCCCTATTGTATATTTTATAATGACAAATAGATGAATAGCCCAAAGAAAAATGGGCAAAGGATACAACAGAAAATTGTCAGTGGGAGAAAAAAACTGCCCAGAACTATGAAAAAGATGTAATGTTCTTAAGAAATAAAGAATTTCATATTAAAAAGTACCAAGAAGATAGTTTGGTCTGTCTCAGTTAACAAAGGTAAGAACTTTTCCCAGCTTGTCAAATTTAGAAAACAAATACTTGTACACACAAACTTGGCAGTGGTATAAGTTAGTATTAAAGAGAAAAACAGTCAATGACCCAGTGAAGAGATGGGCAAATGGGCTGAACGTTTTCAAAGGAAGAAGTCCAAATGGTCAAAAAAAAAAACATGAAGAAATGATCACTATCCCTGGCCATAAATGAAATGAAAATCAAAACCATGTTAAGATTCCGCTTCACTCCTGTAAGAATGGCTGCAATCATGAACACAAACAATAACAAATGGTGGCGAGGATGTGGGGAAAAAGGAACCTTCATACACTGTTGGTGGAAATGTAAATTAGTACAAACACTAGGGAAAACAGTATGGAGGCTCCCCTGAAAACTAAAAGTAGAACTACCATATGATCCAGCAATTCTACTCCTAGGGATATACCTGAAGGAATGTAAGTCAGATTACAATAAAGGCACCTGCTTACCCATGTTTATTGCAGCATTATTCACAATAGGTAAGCTGTGGAAACAGCCAGATGGCCCAGTACTATGAATGAATGAATTAAGAAAATGTGGTATTTATATACAATGGAATATTATTCAGCCGTAAAGAAGAATGAAATTTTGTTGTTTGCAGGTAAATGGATGTAACTGAAGAACATCATCTTAAGTGAAGTTAGTCAGGTTTAGAAAGCCAAAGGCTGCATGTTTTTTCTTACATGTGAAATACAGACCCAATACAAATATAAGCAATATTGTGAAAAACGGGTCACGCTAATGGAGGGTCACATACGAGAGAGAGGGAGGTAAAAGAAGGAAATTAAAAAGGTGAATGTGGTTGATGTGCTTCCTATGCAAGAATGAATATAGAATTTTTAAACCTGTTGCAATGATCATAAGAAGGGGACTTAGAAAGGAGAAAAATAGAGGGGATGAATCAATTCTGGTTATATGTATATACATGGAAATGTAACAATGAAACACCTTCTATAGCTCAAACAAACAAAAATGCTACTTTTTTTTTTTTTTTTTACAAAAACAGAACAGGAAAGCAAAACAGGTCCAGTCTGTAGGGGGTGGATACCAGTGGCAGGGGGGCATATATAAGAAAAGGGGGTTGGAGGGTGAATGTGATGGAAATATTCTGTATTCTTGTATTGTAAATAGAAAAATGAGACCTGTTGAAACTATTCCAGGAATGGGGGGTGGGGGTGGGGAGGATAAAGGAGAATGATGGAGGGGGTGAATTCAATAATGATAAATTGTAAGAAATTTTGTAAATGTCACAATGTACCCCTAGTACAACAATAAAGTATATATATAAAGAATATAGTGTTTGACCTAGAAATTATACTGGAAGCAATTTAACATAGGAAAATAATAATAGTTTCATGCAAAGAATTAGTTACAAGAATGTTCATGACCGCATTCTTTTTTTAAAAATTTTGGTGTTTTGAGACAGGGTCTTGCTGTGTAGCCCAGGCTGGCCCTTTTACTTGAGATCCTTCTGCCTCAGCCTCCCAAATGCTAGAATTACAGACACGTGTGCTATAGTGCCCAGCTAGCATTATTTTTTATAGCAGAAAATTAGAAGTAAATTAATCCAACAGTAGAGGACTTTCATGATTTACCCTAGTGATGAAATATATTCATCCATTTCATATTTTTGGTATTTATTGACATGAAAGTAATATTATGTTTGTAAGAACGGAGAGGATAGTGGTGGTTCTGAGTGGTATATGAGTTTGTTTTCATTTTACTGAGTAATATTTTTTGCCACCCTCCCCCGGAGCGTATATTGCTTTTCAAACGAGGAAACCTATTTTGATTAAAAAACATTAGAAATGTTCTCATTTTCATTTTGATATATCTGAAGTTTAGCTATTAACTGCATACCCATTTTCACATTGTTGTAGAAGCTTAATTGTTACATGTAGGTTTAGTTTTGTCTCCAAGAAAGAGATAAGAGAAGTCATTGTCATTACTCTAAAAAAAAAAAAAATAGAGTCAAAAGCTTAGAATAATGTACTTTTATCCTTGTTAAATGAAGTTGTTTATATGTTAGAATACTAAAAAGTAACTTTGCATACTAATTGAGCATTTACA